TTGATTTTACTCGGTGCTCCGCGACAGCAGACACATTCTAACAAACCGTTGTTCGAATCAGTATCCCAGCGTAACAATAGAAATTCGAGAGAGTTTTATTACACTGGACAACAAATTTTAGTTTTTTAATTGTATCTTGTGGGAAAAGTGCACTTCTTTGTTAATTTTGGGGCGCTGAAAAACAACTTTTTATTTTTAAGGATATATTAAAAAAGTAACAAGATTCATATACTTATAAGAATCACTATTATATATGCGCTGTCTTTTTGCTGTTCTTTTATGGATCGTTTCTGGAGCATCTCTACCAAGAGTCCAACAGTAGTCTGCAAGCATGGAAGGATTCAACTTTCCCTGGTACCTTTTTTCCATTGTTGAAATATCCTGATGAAAACGTTCGCCGTGCTCATCACTTACGGCTCCGCAATTGTCAGGAAAAAAGTCCAGGTATGAGTGTAGGAAATGTGTCTTAAGAGACATATTACAGCCCATCTTTTGATACGATGACAGCATATTTTTGACAAGGGTTTTATAGTTGTCAGCTTTTCTATGTCCCAAGAAATTAGTGACCACCAGACGGAAATCATTCCAAGCAGTTTTTACAATACCTGTTAAAGTGTTTTCAAACTGTGTATCTTTCGAAATATTTCGAATCTGTGGCCCAACAAAAATAGCTTCTTTAACCTTTGCCTCACTTAGTCTTGGAAATTTCTGACGCAGGTATTGAAAAGCTGACCCATTTCTATCTAATGCCTTGACAAAGTTTTTCATTAGGTCCAACTTGATATGCAGTGGTGGTAATAAAATTTTTTTCGAATCTACTAATGGCTTATGCTGTACATTTTTTTGACCTGGCTCTAGGAATTGACGAACAGGCCAGTTTTGTCTGGTGTAATGAAGTGCCTTTGCCCGACTGTCCCATTCACACAAAAAACAGCAAAACTTTGTGTAGCCTAGCTGCAGCCCAAGTAAAGGTGCAACAACTTTCAAATCGCCACAAATATGCCATTGGTGCTCATCGTATTTTATGCTTGTCAATAGGTATTTCATATTGTCATATGATTCTTTCATGTGAACTGCATACCCTACAGGAAGAGATGGTAAAATATTTCCAATATGCAATAACACTGCCTTTAAACTCAATGTTGAACTGTCTATAAACAATCTCCATTCTTCTGGGTTATAGTTTATATTTAAAGCCGCCAGTAAGCCGTTAATGTTACTGCAGAAAACCAAGTTATTCTCCATATTGAAAAATGGTTCTAAGTCTTTGTGGCGTTTACGAAAAACACATACCGAAACATCGTCTTCTAACAAGTTCCACTGCTGCAGTCTTGATACAAGTAACTCTGCCTTACATTTTGGAAGTTCTAAATCTCTTACAAGATCATTTAATTCTGACTGTGTTATTTTGTGCGGTTGGTGGCATGACGTGCTCGGTATAAAATCAGGATCTCTTGACGTTGATGGCATATCTTCTTCCTGACGAATCACTCGATCGCCATGATCTGATTCGTTTTCTGATTCGCAAGTGTAGGATTCTGGGGGTTTTGGAATAGGATTTTCGTCACTGTGAGGAACAGGTCTCATCGCAGATGGTATGTTTGGGTAGTTAATAACCGATTTTTTTTTCTTGGACATACCTGTGGCTTGTCCAACACAAGGTACCATGCAAAAGTAACAATCATTAATATGATTTGTAGGCTCTCTCCAAACCTTGGGACAGCAAAGCGCATAGACCGTTTTTTGCCATTTAACCAGCTCCTCAGACTTGAAGCACATGTATTACAGCAGATGTGGGGTGCCCACTGTTTGTCTTGATCACCTAGTTTACAACCGAAATAAAGCTGATATGCCTTTGTTATTAGTGGAGTAATAGACCGTCTCTGAGACGCAAAAGTCACATCACCACACACGTAACAAATCTGATCTGGATTGTTTACACACTTTCGAGACATCTTGCATGAACGCTGTCAGCCAACTGAGGAAAAAATGGCTAATATAAAACAATATAATGTACACGTATGTATAACGTAACACAATCATGCCGATTACATCATCTTTCCTTGCCGAATATAAAAATGTAGCACGTGCATTTTTGTGAATTACAGTATATTAACACTGTCACAGCAGGAACACATATAATTACCGTATCTCTAAAACTTGAACTAATATTGAAAAAATAAGTTTCATTCCGGTTTTAGCACATTAAAAATAGTAATATTTTGTTGATTTTATTTAGGATATTTTTTGGCTGTTGATCAGTGTTATTAAAGGTCAATGGGCTTTAAAGCAGTGTAATCATTTTGAAATTTTTATCATTTACTTATTATGCTTCATTAAGTACTTATACAAAATTTTATCAAAATAAAACCATTCAAACTGGGTGTTCGGATTTATCTGTCACTTAGTATATCTCTTCTACAGGCTGTGCGGCAAAAAATCACACCCTACCCCTTAAAACGTCCAGCGCCATCTATGAATAATCTGTCGGCATTCGTCTCGTATCCCATCCGGTCCCTCTGGAGAAACAAATGCCGCCACGCCGAGTGTCGAAGCTCAGGCACGGCCTGCTGCCTGCCACCAACCGCTGTGTCGGTCCCAAGTTGGCCATGGAACGATGGAGGGCTGCACAATCGATAAAACAGCGACCTAATTCGTGTTTGCCGACACACACACACACGCTCACATGATGGGGAGGCTCGGAGGATGTTTGTGTTCCGTGTGAGATGCGGATACGAAAACCCGACACGCCACACGACGGGGTGTCCGCTTTTAGTACAGTCATTTCATCTCTTCGTAACTTTCTACTTCTGCGCTTTTCGTGGCCAATGACCCGAATCATTCCACGTACAAGTGAGCCGCGACTGGAGACAATTGTGATCCCATTGGCGGGACTTATTCTTGTACGCAGAATTCTTCTTTCACTTGGAATTAGTTGCTATTCAAACAAAACGTTAGCTCTGGATCTTCTCGGAATTTCATATCGATTATGCGTAAGGCATCTGCTATGTGAACGTTGGTAGTATAGGCTTTCAATGTCAGAACTGACAAGACTGTCTTCAGTATTTTTTCTTAGTGCAATTTTTTGCTTTTTGAATAAAAATACTGATTCTTCGGACTTTTCAACATAAAAAAGCTCTCCTGTGAGTTTTCGTTATAGTTAGCCGTTTTTGAGATATTTCGATTTTTAAGGTCCGATGCATTTTTAATTATTTATGGGAAAATAATATTTTTTTACATTTTCGATTTGGACATTACAAGTAATTAAGATGATCGTTTAGATTGTGTTTTTAAACACAGCAATAATTCCTAACTCCAAATAAACACAAAAAACAGAATATTAATTTGTTTAATTTTCCAATATTATTTTTAACAACTTAAATTAATTATTTACAACTAAAATGCTATTGGATAGTTAGGACAAACATACAAAATCTAAAGTGGTTGCTCGAAATGTAAACCCAATTGTTCAATACTCAATTCACATCTACGAATGATCGAACGTGGTATAGCATTATTCAAATAAGGCCTTATTTCATCACATGCATTCCTGATTCTGTCTATTAGCATATCTCTTGTGGTTACGGGAGTCTGGTACACTTTTTCTTTTAGAAATCCCCACACAAAGAAATCTAATGGATTTAGGTCAGGGGATCGTGGAGGCCAGGCGACTGGTCCTCCACGGCCGATCCATCTTTCTGGATAATTTTCGTCCAGCCAGTTTCTAACTATTCTCGAATAATGAGCTGGACAACCATCAAGCTGGAACCAGGCCAATCTTCTTAAATCTAACATAACATCATCCCACATATTTGCATGTTCAGCCTTTAAAAATTCCAAGAAGGTCGCAGCATTTAACCTTGCAGGCAAAAGGTAGGGTCCAAATAGTCGATTACGGTATCCCTTTGGAGATTTCCAAAACCATTTTCAATTATTTGGCGATGCACTCTTACAAATACTGAGCGAGTTGGATGTCGTCTGTTTGGAAATCTTCGTGCGTATTCTCTGACTGTTTCTGCTGCTCCATTTACAAAGCCATACACAAAATGAATATCCGCTAACTCTTGATTGGAGAATAAAAATGGCATTTATATAAAACTTACAAAAAAAAAACAGGTAAAAGAAACTAAATTTCGTGCACTCACAATTGCAAAAAAACGTTTCAGGTTTCAACAGACAACAAAACTAACTGTCAACTAATTGACGTTTAACCTTATTCTGCTTTCAATTTCAAGAATATTTGCAGGCACAGTCTACTTCTAAAAATTATCGAGATACTGACTTTTTAACGTTATTTTATCATAAATAATAAAAAATGCATCGAACCTTAAAAATCGAAATATCTCAAAAACGGCTAACTATAACGAAAATTCACAAGAGAGCTTTTTTATGTTGAAAAGTGCGAAGAATCAGTTTTTTTATTCAAAAAGCAAAAAATTGCACTAAGAAAAATTTTTCGGTCATTTTAATACACTACAGGTACAGTAGAGAGCGCCCTTTAGCGGCTACAGTAAAACTATGCCCAGGGTTCGTTTTGTCGTACAAAAAAACCCTTGTATACCAATTTTCACTGTTATACATCAAATATTGTTCGAAATATTTAAAAAAAAAAACTATTTTAGAAAGTAAATTTAAACACCCTGTATTTCGGAAGCCGCGCATTTTTCGACCCATATTTATATAGACTTTATGCATTAATTTTCAAAGTTCTATCGAATCTTAAAGTTATGCAACAATAAACTGAAACACCCTGTATATGCTTGTCTTCTTATGATGTAATCCTAAAACCAGGGGTTGAGTGGAAGAGCGGATATGCCGAACTTATATGTTCATATAAAACTGGTTTTGCAACTTGTTTTATATTTTCTTTTGTGGGAATTAAGACATTATTATTATTATTATTATTATTAGTAAATGATACTAAAAATTTTACGCGGTGAAATCTGGCAAGACAAATTTTTGTACCAAATGAAATGAAAAATACTTGAATGAAACCTTACCCACACGTCAGTTTGTTTAACAGATGATACTCACCTGAAACAAAAAATATAAATTAATACAAAGAAGAAATTGACAATCTCACATTTGATTTTACGTACAGTAGAACCCGGATTATCCGAAATAATTTGGGGAATCACCGGCAGCGAATCTAATGACGCAAACGCCGAAAGGGGAACTACCGGCGACTATTTCCGATCAAAAAACTGAGAAATTACTGTTTGCGATCTGTTTTGGAAAAAGCGGATTTCGGATAACATATGCATAGTAATTATTTTAGTCTTAGCGTGAGTAACTGCTAGAAAAAATGTTCATATTGCTCATCGACCCATACAAAGACGCAGCCGTTACATGCGAATGCAATTAAATTAGCGATCGATAAAGAGAGCTGAGCATATGCAGCAACCTAGCATCTGAGCGAACAAACGGCGGGACACACCCAAACCTACAACACATACATACACACACAGACGCACATAGAGCTTCATCCTGATGCGGATGCCGACAAAATCCGCTCGGTCGTTGCCACACTGCAGTATCGACAGAGGTGCCTCCCGCTTTTCCCCCAATCCCCCCCTCTGTCGTTACATTCAACCCCGTCGAATCAGACGAGGTATGATTCAGACCTTGTGATATGATGGTGACTGAAACCGATGCGTAAGACAAATCTATAACAGCTATCAGTTGGGAAAGTAGGGATTTCAGTTCGCATCATCATTGTGACCGCAAGAGGCTGACGATTCTGGCAGTATAGTAGATGTGTGATTGAACGTACATGCTGATTTCCAGGTTTTCCATATGGAGGGATTTTTACTTCTCTTGGGGATATATTCTGGGGGGACTTTTTTGGCGGAAAAATAAAATCGATTTGTATACTAAGTGACATATAAATCCGAACACCCAGTTTAAATGGTTTTATTTTAATAAAATTTTGTATAAGTACTTAATGAAGCATAATAAGTAAATGATAAAAATTTCAAAATGATTGCACTGCGATCGATCGATGAGGTCAGGTTGAATAATTCAAGGCGATCTTCACAGCTTGGTCTTCGTGCTCCAAAAGGGATACGAGTAGTCCGACGCTGTACTGATTCGACGAGATTTCTATCGCGCAGAAGCATAGTGTCCCATACCGGGCCAGCGAATTCAAGAATTGGCCTCACGAATGCCTTGTAAATGTAGGCGCAAGTGTTGACATCGGATCCTTTGAAAGACCTCTCCAGCGTGTATAGAAGTTTCTTGGCTTTTGATGTAACGTGGTGAATATGCTCTGACCAGGAAAGACGATCGTTGACTACAACGCCCAGATCAGTGTGGCTGGAAATTGCTTCGATGTTGTGGCCAGAGATCTTGTATGTAAATCGCGGATTTGTCTTCCCGAGGTGAAGGACACAACACTTAGTTAGATTTAAGGGTAAAAGCCAACTGACTGACCATTGACAAACAATATCAAAATCTCGTTGAAGCATAGCAGAATTTACGACAGTATTGTAAATCTTGGTGTCGTCGACATAAGCATGTGGAGGAAATCAATGCGGGCAGGTCACTTGTATACAGAAGGAACAGCACTGGCCCCAAGACAGAGCCTTGAGGAACTCCACTTGCTACATGATGAAGGTGAGACTGGCTATCACTGACGTGCACAGAGAAAGTCCTCCCGGTGAGAAAAGCCTTAATCCACAGTAACAACTCGCCTCTTATTCCCATACATTCCAACTTAAACAGAAGCCTTCTATGTGGTACGCGATCGAAAGCCCTAGAAAAATCTAAGTAGATTATATCAACAAGAGTCTTTGTGTCCAGATACTGAGTCCAATCGTTGAGAGAGTGAAGAAGGTTGGTCATTATTGATCGACCAGGGAGAAATCCATGCTAATTCTTTGGGATAAGGTCATTTTCGAAAGCAAATGACAGGAGCTTATCTAATATGATTCTTTCAGCTATTTTGGCGGCGATAGGAACGAGACTTATTGGTCGATAATTTTTAGCGGAGGATTTGTCGCCCTTTTTGAATACAGGGGTAACAGAAGCACTAAGCCAGCATGAGGGTAGGGTATGAGATCTAAAAGACGATGTGAATATTAAACTTAATGGTAGGGCCAGTGCTGAAGCGCAGTTTTTAAGTACAGCCGCCGTCATCCCATCTTTACCAGAGGAGGAAGAGGTCTTCAGATTTCGCAGGTGCATTAATACATCTTCAGGCAGGAAGTCAACTTCGCAAAGGCAGATAGTGGTCGGTAGAAGGTCTCCATTATTCTCATCGACGAAGTCATCACTAAAGGACTCTGCCAGTAAGTTGGCGGATTCGGTGGCATCCATGTGGAGATGACCGTCAGCGTCGCGGATCTGAGGTGATGAAACTTTGGAATTCAGGTTTGTTCTTAGATACCGAAACAGCTTCTTCTTATTTTTAGAGGTAACGAGTTTTCGTTTATAAGCATGTTTGGCATGTAACGTTCTAGATAGGAGGTTAGAAAAGGATCGATGAGACACGTAATCTTGCGAATGGCCACTCCTCCTAAACCGTTGCCACAAAGATCTCTTGTGACGAAGCATCCTCGATATGTTAGAGTTGATCCAGGGCTTTGAGGGGTCACAGTATACCTTCTTTTCAACAGTGTTGTCAGCCGTTTCGCTTAGGACTCGTTGAGCGAAAGTTTCCCACATTTCTTGGGTGCTACATTTGTTAAGCAAAGCAGGCCAGTTGACTTCAGACAGGGCTTGGTTAAGAGCATCGTGGTTTGCAATTTTGATGGTTTTAAACTTATCGGTTGTAGAACGACTATTTATATTGAACTGGAGAGAAGATAAAAGTGAACAGTGGTCAGACTTGCCAAAAGGTGGCAAATAATCTAATTAGAAACAAAGTCGGCGTCGTTAACGAATATCAAATCCAGAGCCCTAGGCGTCTGTCCTTCCCTGAATCTCGTTGGACGATCAACAAGTTGAGATATGCTAGAGTTGCGTAGCAAGTCGATGTAAGCAGCAGAAGAAGAATTGCATTCAGGAATGGTTGACATAGGCCAGCTAATGTCACGTAGATTGCAAACCTTTTATATCCTTTGTATTTCGGCCACGTTACGTCATTCGATGAATACTATAATTTGATGTAGCCGACTGGACTAATGAGCCGAGCAGGATAAGAAGAGGCGTTAGAACATCCAAGAGGCAGAGAGAGGTAAGCCAGCGGGGGCAGGGGGGCAAACGGAAGGGAACAGAGAGTAAAGTGTATGCTCGGCAAAGGCAAGGCGAGTATTGATTTCCGCGACCGCCAAGATGGGGGTCAGAGGGCATTTTCAGACAGCGAGCACAGCATGCACCGTATACTCAGTACTTACGCTCGCTCCTCTGTATGATCCTACAGCTTGCTCTATGTGCATTCGCTCTATCTTGTTCTCTTTCTCTCTCTACGGTAACTAGACTAACTCGACACCACGTTGCGGCGCTACGTAGCGCCCCGCTTCAGCCGAGGATACACGGCTTGTTCAGAATCGCTGGCTGGGCGGCCACACACTCTCATATGAAAAAGATTTGGATGCGAGAAGATGTAATAAGCACTCACGAGCAACAAACGCCATAAACGGGACAAAAAGTAAAGTGTATTAAAGTCTAATTTACTCCCATCACGCGCGACGGTTCGAATCCGCGCGCTTCCATTGGCCAACGCCAAGAATTAAATGACCCTCCTCCCCCTGAGAGGAAGTCCTGTAGGCCCACGTCATCCTTGCGATGACCAACCCCGCGTGAATGACGATATTGGTCTTCACCGTGCACAATGCACACATCTCACAGCATTACGGAAACGATTGCCGACTGTGACGTAAGACCACCGACGACGACGCTTGTCCATCCCGAGAGCCACGTAGCACGTATCGACACCCCACTGTAGGAGATATACAAACATCTAACTCCCAATTTTTAGTCCCTACAAAAAGTTTCCGAAAATGGCCAAAAAAAAACAGGTTTTTTATTTTTTGGCCCTTTTCTACGACGCCACTGGACCGATCTTCAAAAACTACAAAGCTGGTGTACATGTCCCCCAAGTTCATTGGCGTTAGCATTGGCGTGCGATATGCTTTGATCTCCCTTTTCGGTTCCCGTCCTGTGAACATCAGAAGTAAATTAACCTTTACTATGCCTCAACATCGAACTACTTTGTTCTGTAGTTCTTTTGTCTACAATGCTATTAGAGCACACAATTTGCTGCCAGCAAAGTTCGGGTAATTAAATGAAAATAAACTTAAATACAAATTAAAAAAAAACAGTTACTCGATGGACAGTGAAAGTTAAAACACGGCTTCGCCATCCATTTTCCACTCCTTCTTATATTCTACTTTTTTCAGTCGTTGTAGGAATCTACTATATTTACTTATTTATACTAAGTGACATATAAATCCGAACACCCAGTTTAAATGGTTTTATTTTAATAAAATTTTGTATAAGTACTTAATGAAGCATAATAAATGATAAAAATTTCAAAATGATTGCACTGCTTTAAAGCCCTTTGACTTTTAATAATGTGTGGATGCACCCTGATGTGCTACGCATTCTCCAACGCGCCTAGGCATGTTTCTGATCAGGTGGTCAATGTCCTCCTGTGGTAGCTCATTCCAGGCAACCACCAACTCCTCTCGAAGTGCTTCTAGAGTCTGAGGAGGACGTTGCAAATTGAGCAATCTCCTACCCATCATATCCCACACGTGCTCAATTGGGGATAAGTCGGGAGATCTTGTTGGCCATGGTAACAATGTGACATCATTATGTTGAAAGAAGTCTATTGTGACTCTTGCAACATGTGGTCGGGCATTATCTTGTTGGAAAGTTGGATCTGCCAGGGTGTCAAGATAGGGTAAAAGATGGGATTCTAGAACTTCGTGGATATAACGCTGCGCGTTCATGTTACCTCTGATGAAGATTAAAGGTCACCTGGAACCATAAGCTATAGCACCCCAAACCATAACTCCAACAGTGTGATGAACATGTCTTTCAACAAAAAACTGTGGATTCTTCCTTTCACCACGTCGCCTTCTAAGGCA